AGGATGTTTTATTAATTTTAGATTATATTGTTGCAGCAATACTGCAAGACTGGAATCAAAGCATTTTATTTTTTTTTAAACTGGGGTTGCTGACTTTTCATAATGTATAGGTGCCATTCTTCCATACATCTGGATCGGAGTTCGACGAGGTGCTTGTAGGACAAGGAGCACGGCGGGTTCGAGATCTGTTCGATAAAGCGAAAGCGAGGTATGGTGTACTCCATCATTTAGTCGTTTGATGTCTCTTCGAATTCATTTTCAGAGCTCCCTGCATTATCTTTATTGATGAGGTGGATAGTGTTGGATCAAAGCGAGTTTCAAACAGCATCCATCCATATGCTAATCAGACCATCAATCAATTGTTGAGGTTTGTTCGAAACTTTTAACTCGTTTTTCCCTTGTTCTCATTTTGCCTACTAAAAGTTGTGATAACTTAATTGCTGCTAACCTACTTATATGTTTGATGTTTAAAAAAAGGAAGGGCTGTTGTTTGATTAGCTTATAGATTTAGTAATAAAATAGAGCTTTTTGGATTAGAGAAGATTAACATATTCTTGAATATTCTGTCATGGACCATTATTTGCTTGAAGCAAGATTTCCTTCAGTGAAATGGATGGATTCAATCGAAATGAGGGCGTTATAGTGATTGCGGCTACAAACCGGGTAGAGGATTTGGACAAGGTGGATTTGCAATAACTTTTGTTTCTTGTTTTCTTACTGAAGTGGTTGTTGTATACGTATATGTACTACAGGCTCTGCTCCGTCCTGGTCGATTTGATGTGCGAGTCACAGTGCCGAAACCAGATTTGGCAGGTCGAATAGATATATTCGACTTTTACTTACAAAGAATTATACATTCTCCTAATGTCGATCCAAGAATCTTGGCCAAAGTATGTAGGGAAGTAGCTAGTATTTTTTTTTTCTGCTTAGCTTCATAAATTCCAGGGATCTACAGGATTTACTGGCGCTGATATTGAAAACATGGTAAATCAAGCTGCTTTAAAGGCTGCAAAAGAGTGCGCTCCAGAAGTAACGATGATGCATCTGGATGAGGCTAGGGACAGGTAAAAAGCATTTATGTAACATTTATGCAAATCCCTTCCTTGCTACATTTTTTATTTAAGGATTCTTATGGGTCCAGCACGTACAGGTGGAAGAATACCCGATGAAGAAGCGAATAGGAATACTGCTTATCATGAAGCTGGTCATACGTTGGTGACACTTTATACAAAACATGCTACTCCATTGCATAAGGTATGTGGATTCTTCTATTCATCTAAGTTGATTCCCTTTTCCAGTATGTTCTACTGTTTTTTCCTTATTGGATAGATTTTAGAGAAATGTTTAGGTAACAATAATTCCCCGAGGACAGTCACTTGGCCACACGGCAATGCTACCTGAAAAAGATGAATATCAAATGACGAAAGGACAACTTCTCGCAGCTCTTGATGTAATGATGGGTGGACGAGTAGCGGAGGAGTTGATTTTCGGGGAAGATATGGTAGTTTTCAGTTGGTTTTATTTGAATGAATCAGACATAGTTAGTAAACTCAGGTTACCACGGGAGCTGCCGATGATTTGAAAAAGGCAACACAACTCGCTGTTCAGATG